TTTGAAAAATCGAAATATCGCCCATGGCAGTTTCAAGGTTTTGCGTAGTCATATAAAAAACGATAGGAAAGTGAAATTGCTTCAGTTTGTCTTTCATTTCAAACGCTTTTTCAATGTTTTTACGTATCATTATGTATTTTTTATTGAATGCACGAAAATCAGTTCTTGTCTTAATTTAGTTTGGAAAACGCGAGAATCATTCAAACAAACAACTATAGAGATAATTAAAAACAATTTTACTCGCTCACATGAGCAGGCCTCTAAAACGTAATTTTTATGAAATGAAGGGGCACTTAAGCATTACGTAGCAACACTAAAGGGTTTAGTTACGCATGTTACTAAATTTTCAAAGAGCAGTAAATGATTTCCACTGCGTCAGTGAAGAAGCATCTAGAATAAATCTCCCCACTGAATTGATAATGTCAGTGGCTTGTTATGAGTCACGTAATGACATATTGTGTGTCCTACAAATCCAAATAAATTTTATTGGTCCACGGTAATTGACCTCATTTACTACTCAAATGGTGCAAAGTACTATTGAATTTCGTGTAAAGAAACTAGTTTATTCGAAATCACATCTAAAGTCAGTTAAACTAAATTTAGGAAGGAATAAAACTTAAGTCACCCAAATCTTCCAAAAAAGTTCCGGTATTTTTAAGCCCTTCCTTCGTGAAGTAGGCTTTGTAAGTAGACCGCAATTCAATATAGCGCTTTAATTCATCGAATCGTCTTTAAAAAACCTCTCCTGAAATACAGCTTCCTTCCGTCTTTTAAGTGGCTTTATGTATTGAAGGATATGATTAAAAATACCGCCAACGGCAAATATGAGAAGTTTATTCTTTTATTGGGATTCTCATCAACTTATAAGCGCATTTCACCGAATAAATAATAGACGTCCATTCAAGTTGACCCAAATGATGGGCTTAAAGTTTGTCTTTGAACTCTGGTCGAACAGCGCCTAAATAATCATCATCTCATCAAATTTTTCGCTCTTCTCTGTGTGTTATAATGAAAGTGAAGGATAAAATGGGCAAGAAAATGTCAGTTATGTCTTTTCGTCGACCACAAGGCCAGAATCCGTGTGCTTTCGAGTACAGCCAACATAGATGCGTCGGTGTCAACCTTAGCTATAATTATAAAGCCCTTGTTGGGAATCTGATTCCACTGATATATCAAGAAAACAGGTATTAAGCCAAATTTAAATCATTCTCTCTGAAATCATCTGGCTCCATCAGTTACCCCCCCCGCCCCCCCCCCCCAAAAAAAATTGTTGTACTTTCCAATGTTTCATACACGGTTTAGGTAAAAAATGGAACAAATCATGCTCTAGAAAGTGATTATATTAACATCTGTTTACTAACTGACACGCTTGCCGCCCAAAATATCTACATTTGCAAATTAAGAGCCAAATCGGTCAATTTCTTGACAAAAAACGAATAGTTACAATCCAATCGAGTAAAATGTGAAACACAAGCTAAACTCGATTGATTAAATCCAGTTTACGCTTAAGAAGCTTGGCCACTTTAGCTTACCGCTCTAATGGAGATGAACTTAAATTTAGGAGCTATTCGTGGAAAAAAGTTTTTTTTTTTTAAACAATTTTCGAGGAAATGTCGTCAATGTATCCGATAGAAATTCAAGGAAAGGAAAGCAATTTCAACGCTACTAATTTTTTCGTTAATTTGGCGTTCATCAGCTGTTTTTCAAAAGCTTCAAAAACATACGTTCCTTTTACGTTGTAAATAAACCCCAGTCTTTGCGTATAAATGACATCGATCGGTTTCTTTATTGCGGCATTGGAATATCGAATGAAAAGAAATATATATATATAACAAATTTTTGTATTTTATATATGCATATATAAAGCCAGCGGATTAAATTTTCGGTTATTCAAAATGGGTAGAGTGAGACTTTTGACTCGTCAAAAATATTGGCTCTTCTGGTATTTAGATGTCATTACTATCCGATCGATGCAATGATTCTATCAGAAAATAATAGTGAATTATACACTTTCAAATTGAATGACTGAAATCGTACAGGGTCGTAATTTATTCCCTAAGACATTACCTCCTCCTTTTTGGTGCAATACACCCCGATCCTGAGAGAAAGTAAACACCAAAACCCTCATTCGCCTGCAAGGATAACAGGGTTTTCCTTCGAGGACAAGGCTGACATGATTACGGAATATTCTTCGTTTTGCGGCGCACACGGAAGTGAAAGGCGAGTTTACAAAAAATAAAAAAGAACGAAAATTAAAACAAAAAAACCGATTTCGTTTATGAAGGATTGAAATCTTCAGCTAGAAAAGATAACCTCTCAAAACCTCAAGTTTACTAACAAAATCACTAACTTACCAATTAGACCTGGAAAAAACTCGTTGCATATACGAAATTTCCTTTACCTCCTGCTCGTCTCCGAAGATAAGGTTTTTTTCCACAACATCCAAACGAAAACTAGCTATTTCGTCTCTTTCTTGCAGGTGCCAACTGAACTATTTTAGCAAAACATAGCAGCTTAAAAGAGTCGTCACTAGATGTCACTCTCTAATCCATCAAAGCTTTCAAAACACCCAAAGAAAAGCGCTATTTAGCTTGGCTGTCAATCAAAGAGATTGCACCAATCACAGGATATAGACTACTAAAGATGTACCACAAAATCAATATTATTTCCCAAAAAAATGGACACCATGAGTCACGAACAAGATGTACTCATTTTCGAAAGAACCACCAGTCCTTAAACCTACTTCTCATTATCGATCGACTGTTAAATTGCTGGTTATTGTATTGCTTTCTCCGACCAATCAATTACCATTTCTTGAATTTAATTTTTAAGCTCTTACACTGCACTTACTAATCAAGGTCCACTCAAACTCTTTCATGAGAAATTTCCTTCACTACCGGCTTTTCAAATAAAACTAACTTGAGAGGTATATTGGAAGTAGAAGGAAAAAAATTAAATACCGAAAAGAAATCAATGATTCTATTTTCTCCCGTAGGCCAAGTTCTCCTTCAAAAATAAATAAAAACTTATGGTTGCGCAAGGGGACATTAACGATTTAGAATTTAACCACAACTGACCACAGAGACAAATAAACAAGCGACAGATAGTTATGTTTTGCTAAAGTGCAAATTTTTTTTTAAGACAACGCGGTTTTTCCCTAGCTTTTAATAAGCGATTTTGTCAAGTGCAGTCATTCACAGGGTTAATTTGTAACCGAGTAGAGAGTAATTTATTCGTAAGATAGTAGTTAAGACAAGCAAAGCTATGATCCGCGCAGGTGGACTGCAATTTCCACTGCCGAAACTTCAAGAATCCTGAAAAAGATCAGTTCTCAACACATTTCAAACCCGGGCCTCCCAGATACCAGTTGGATGTTACTACCAATTTAGCTACGAAGCCACCACCCGTTGGGAGCGAGGCAAATTTCAGAAGGTTCATCTTTCCCGTAAAGGAATCTGAACACAATTTTTACGAAAATAAAATTTATTTCAATAAAAAAAATTGCTTAGTAGTTACTTCATCGCACTACGAGTTTTGCCGCTAAAAAAAAGTCATACTTTGTTAACTTCTAGCAGATGATGCTAAATCAGTCTAAAATTCAGCATAACCAAGTGTGGATTCAGACGCCTCAAATAGCGTTTGCAGCGACGCACACCTCACACTCACAATAGTCCTTGTTTAGGATGATGAATGTTTTGTCTTGCACAGAGTGCAAGTGCTAATCCTAAAATCGCATCAGCGAGCTTTAAGTTAAACGTGAAGCAAAAGTTCGATACAATAATAACTAACGAGCTGATCTGATCTAAAACAGTTCAATTTTCTTATGGTTGTCTGTTTTTCCCTCGCAGAAAAGCAGTGACTAGTACCTCCAACTGATAGTTACTGGGTGCTGGTGCTAGGAATGTAACCCAACGAATGGTACCGAGCCGAAAACAGGTCTTAAAAAGCAGCTTTCGTTGCATACTAAGGACCTGACCAGACACGACCCCATTTCATTTCACTATTCATTTCTTTATTTCCTTTCATAACTGTTTTTTTTTCGCCACCAATTTGGTGCAGCAACATTAAATGTGGTGTTTAGGACAGCTACTGTTCTTTCGCTGTGTCAAGTCTTATCTTATTTAGTATATATAGCATGGCAGATAAGGCGGACAGCATTGAGAACACGCCTTGAAACTAAAATTGGACGAATCTTCTGTCGTTGAACGTCACCCCCTCTAAAAAGAGATCCACCCAGCATGCTGCACTATGAAACAAATTTTTCACATAAGATCCACTTGTTTATTGTTTGAAAAAAATTTTTTACATAAGGTCCACTTGTTTATTGCTTTAAAAAAATTTCAATTAGTCACAATTCTGCCGCAAGCTCTGAACTTGGTAGACCAAACAACTTAAAAGCCTTTACTATAGTAACGTAATTGATTTTGGTACATTTACTAATCAATAAATGTTTTGAACGCTTAGCGTCTTTTACCTTTTTTTAAGGGGATTGCTTTTCAATGCCCTATCATGGCTTGAGTAGGATTAATCGTTAGTTTTGACTTACCATCGCCCTTGTAAATGACGTCGAGTGCAGTTTAATGCTCTGACAAGCTATAAGCTTTCGCTTCAAGGCATATCGTGCTGCTTCTCTCGTACAGTTTCCATCATTGACAAACAAATAAGCTCTAACTTTAGAAAGTCATTTACTCAAGGAAGTCATCGACCACCTAATCGCTTCAAGCGCTAAAGAGCAGAAAGACATTTACGGTATCCTCAGGTTTAAAATAAATATGTCGATCCAAACAATTTGAAGGAAAAAAAACAGTGAATTCTGCGATCATAATGATATTTTCTTTAACTAGAATTGTTAAAGACCATTTTCTTGCCTATGGCGTAGTAAAGGCGCCTCTTTAGCACTCTGCTGGGGTGTCAGATCGCCAATCCTAAGAACCCAAGATCCATACTCCGATGGAGTACGAGATTTTTTCTTTCCTCAAGCTTGTATTAAAACCACGGAGTAACATCTTAAGTTTATTATGTGACACCAAACCCTTGATTCATAAACTGACGTCAGAAAATTTAAGTGCAATCGAATTAACACGAGGAGTGTTCTCATGACATGTCGAAGGAACAGACGCTTTTCTTCAAGGTCTACAATGTTCCTTTGTCTTCAAGAATATTACAATAGTGTCTTGGAAACTAAAGGAAACGAAATATCTTTTAAGAAGTTACATTAAAAGCCGTTCAATTACTGGTTATAGATAATGTAATAATGACGAAAAAGCGCCTGAAAAAATAACTGATAACTACCTCGTGGTTGAAATCACTTTTCGATTATACATACCATACTGTGCTATACATTTATTTAGCCCTAGATGATTGAAACGCAGTACAGAAATTCCATGAACAGTACATCGCCGCATCAATGCCTACTTTTTCTTAGCCATGAATATTAACAAAGTCATAGAAATGGGGATGTCATCATCTCTATTTGCGTGTTGAAGAATTCCTTTGTCTAGTTCGTCAATTCCTTCTTCGATTTCCCCGTCACTCAGCTCCTTTAAGGTACTATGGAAGCGTCCTCGCAGCATGTCGTACCACTTGGATTTCTTAACCATGAAAGCTAACAGCTCTACTGAAACTTCAACTTCAAAATTAGCTGATCGAAGGAAAGCAGAAGTGCCTTCCTTTCTGCCGGAAACGAAAGAGGTGAAACGATTCTTTGCTTTCTTGAACAAAGGGAAAGACACGTACTCGCCCATTTGCGCGATCATGAAGACACCATCAGACGTTAAACACGATTCTACGCCCTTGTAAACTTTAACTGGATCACTAAAATGATGAACAGAACTGACACACAAGGCAAAGTTGAAGCGATGCTGTTTGTCTAAATCATCCAAGAATTCTTCTGCGGTTTTTTCTATGGTAACCAAACCCTTCTTTGCCCTGGCTGCTTCTTGCATTTCTGAAGAAGGTTCTACACACCACACGGGATTCTTCAGTTTAAATGTCTCGACCATTTTCTCACCATAGGTACCTGTTCCACTGGCGAGGTCAACTACAAGATGATCAGGCTGTAAATTCAAGTATTTCATCATGATATTGAACTGAGCTTCGTGGCGTTCTTTGTAGAAGCAGTCATAGTTCTTTGCAAGAACTTTATAGTGAGCTGAGAAAAACGAGAGGAACTATCAAATTATAGTTTGAATTGACATACCTCTTCATATTCCGAGGAGTGTACCCAAAACGTTCCGTTTTGCAAGAGGAAAGAGCAGTCTTTGGCAATGATAAAAAAACTCGTAAGAAAAATGATGCTATGTGTGACCTTTTGGCATACAAAGATTTTCTTCTTGGTATAACGCCATAGCATATCTGTGCCGTATGTATCTCGTTTTCTCTATGCCCCCGCTCTTATTCATAGTCCTTCATTTACATCAGCACTCACTCCGATGTTGGTTTAAACGTCATTTTGGAACATGTTTATAGATGTCATGAGTTGGTCCGCGCGTAGTCGCACATGAGTAAATTAAGCAAATCGAGGAAGTCAATAAATTAATTATGCGTACTCTTCCATCAGTGCCCCATGGATTCCGATGGACACGAATAGAATTCAATGGATTCCATCGGACTGATCGATTTTCTGATGGCGAGAGATCGAGTTTATAGGTTAGAGATAAGCCTCGAAAATGTTTTCCATCGGTGTCCGATGGTCACGTATAGAATCCAGTGTCATCCATCGGAATGATCGATTTTCCGAAATCGTGTTTAGGTTTTACGGCCGGCCCCAAATTTGTATTACATCAGAGTCCAAAGGATTCCGATGTTAACGAACAAGATCCTGTATCAAAATGGTGTCCATGGAAATGATCGATTTTCCGATGCTAAGAGACCTTAAAAAAGAAAATAGTCTTTAGGTTATAGGTAAGCCTAAAAAATTGTTTCCATTGGTGTTTAATGGTCACGTAAAGAATCCACTGTTTTCCATCAGAATGACCGATTTTCCAATGGTGAGAGATTTAGGAAAAATCGTATTTAGGTCGAAGGTAGGCGTGGAAAATGTTCTCCATCTGAGTCCGATGGAGTCCAATGGACGCGAATAGAATCCAGTGTTTCCATTGGAATGACCGGAATTCCATGAAATTGACCGACTGAAGAAGACACACGTTTGTCGTGGTTTTTTTGTTTTTGTTTTTGTTTCTGTTTTTTTTTTTCCATTCATTTTACGTATACAGCACATGTCTGTGCAAAATGCTGTTTCGCCTTATGGGTCGAAGCACACGATATTTTTTACGTGATCCGCCCTTGAAATGAGTTGTTTTGCTTCATGGCCTTAAAGCGAGACATATTTCACGTATGCTGTATTCTATTCGTCTGTGTTAAGGAGGCTCCGTAGGATTTTTTGACCGCGCAAAATCTGGGTGCGAACATGCGCGAGTTTTAAAAGTGTCAACATGCAAAACGAACATGGTGGCTCGATACGATTGGTGTCTGAAAAGGTGCGCTAAAATCAGTTTATCTCAATACAGTTTGTATGTGATGGAATCTAGGGCTTCCAGCAGCTGTACCCGTAATATTCATAGGCCTTCTACATCTGAAAAAGAGGACAAACGAAAAGGACACCGTGGGAAAGATTGCTAAAGGGCTCCAGATTCAAAAGTTTACGCACCCTCAGATATAGATCTTGGCGAAGTTCTATTCCATTGCGTAATGTTTTGCGAGAAAGAAAAATAGAGATCTTTCGAGCGAGATCTATCGCGTTTCCTTTAGTGAAATTTCCTAAGATTTGCTGGACTGTTAAATATATTTGTGCCCTTCCCAGTGCCTGTTGATAAAAAAAATTCATAGGACCAAATTTGAGATAGACGAAAAAAATACAAAATTGCAAATAAGCGACGAAACTGTCTCGGTAACCCTTATTTTTTCGGCTTTTAAATGATCGGCAGGACAAATTTCACAATCCAGATTATCACCGGCGAGCGCCTCCTTTCGTGGAGCCCTAGCTTAATAACGAAATTCATTTTGTTAATATTTACTACAGTAAACGATAGTCCGAACGTTGCTCATCGCCTTTTGATGGTGACCTAAAAAAGCGAAAACATAAAAATTTTCTAGAAAACCATTACGCTGGCTGAAATTCTATACCACACAACTTTAAGAACATGTTTTGAACGTTTTCAGGCTCAAATCACAAAAAAAAAACAAGAAAGTTCAGATTTAGGCCCAAAGTTAGACGTTCTTGTGAAAAAAAGAAAGGGTAAATGCTTTACCTGCGAAGGAAAAAATCACTAAGATTACTTATTAAATTCGTTTTAGGTTTTGCTCTATAGCGGTTTCGTCATGCTTGACCATTTGCAAAGCCTTCATATGGATGCCTTGAATAATGCGGCGACTTCAACATAATATTAATTCATATTACAACATATTTCATTTCGTTTCGGTATTAATGGCAAACATTATTTCATGTACAACCGAAGAGTTACGTTAGATAGGAAAAGCGCGCGTAATAAATGCTAATGAACAGCACTTTACTTGCAACTTCATTCGGTTACATTGATCTGATTGTTAATTATCCGGCTTTCCTTTACACAAAAACATTGAACACAATATTCCCTATTTCTAACAGTATGGCGTCGTTTCGTTCCATTAATAGTGGCAAGCATCATTTCCTGTACAACTAAACTGTCACAAGGGTTTTCAGTGACTAGGTCGGTGAGAACTTAAGACTTATAAAGCTTTACCAGCTCTATATCAAACCGTGCCACAAAGACTCACCTAACAATAGATGTATGAATGCGGTATCTATTACATGGCTGCCGGCAGTAACTCAAACTAAATAGATATTCTTGAGTCCATTAGGATGCCGTGTGAACTTCTTTCACAATGACGCGCGTGAATATTTTCCGTTTATGTTTCTGCTCTGCATGAACAAGCTTCTGTGCAATATCAGGAAAACGTGTTTAATGAGCCGATTGCTCACTTTTGTATATATAAAAGGAGCTTAGAAAGAAGAGTACGACATTATCGTATTAATTATCACTATAACTGAATATGTGATTGTGAAGATAGGCGGGCAGTCGCAAAGCACATGAGAAGATTGAGTTGAAATTGCCATTTGTTCAGTCATTGTATTGGAATTTTTTTGTACTTAATGAATTTTTTTACCTTGTATAAATAATGATTAAAATAAAGAAATAAATTCCTTCTGTTTCCTTTCTTGATATTTTAATATAATGTTCCAATTTTTAAAAAGTCAACATCTCGATCTTGGATGAAACACTGCAAGCGAAAATGAGCTTTTCGGGCCGTAAGGTGTCTATAAAGTCACTGGGTAATTCGACAAACCGGCCCTAAGCCCTTAAAGATCATCAGTACCTAAACTATCTCCACCACAGTGTAAGTAAGCACTCTTAGAGCTTCTTGAGCCAAAGAATGACACGCAAAGTCAACCATACTTTCTCGTTGTTTTTGTACGTCAAATTCTTTTACGCAAAGCGATGCCACAGGTTTCAATCAACGACCGCCAGTTATAGAGACATTTTAAGTATGAAATTATTGTAGCTTGATAATTATATATGATAGAAGGAGAATGGCCGAGGACAAAAAAAAAAAGACTTCTGCGGAATGAATACCAAAACCTCCCAGTTTCCCAAGAACGTATTAATGGAGAGAGTTATCAAGAAATATTTACCGCGTAAGCTCGCATTTTGGGGTCCTTTTAGCAATTTCCGATCCAACATATGAAACGCATGACATAAAAGTCAATAAAGGAAATTAGGAATGTAAGGTAATGTTAAACATTAGGTCTTAAATTTACTGTGGCAAAATTAAAAACTCTACTATCAGTCAGGTGACTTCCTTCAAGCTAGAAGACCTGTTTTTGGATCTGGCTTTCCTGAAAGGCAATGTCATTTAACTGAATACAGTTTCTCGACCCATTTTCTTATACGAAGGTGTGTTATTAGCAAACAAACTTTAAATGATCTAAATACGAACGAGCACGCAGAAAGCTTTCTGAAGTCATCTCATCTTCCAGAACACTATTAATATTAAACTTTTGGATAATATGAGATAAATCTGAAACTGATCCACTGAATCTTGAAAGTCGCTTGATACGAAAAGGAAATTAAGAATAATGCAAAACCATGCAAAAGCGGAGAATTAACCAAGAATTCTAAAGTGAAATGAAGAAGGAAAATTAATGATGACAAAAAATGACAGACTGGCTTTTTCATAACGTGGACTTTACCAAGAGGTTCTTGGAGAATTGTTTGTAAAAACTACAGATCAGGAGAGCTTTAAGTCAAATGATTGGGCGACAAGACCAGGACAACCAGCTCAAGTATGTCAACAATTTGCGGGTAGAACCATGATGTAAAGCAAAACAGTGGAAGTTGTTTCAAAACAAAATGAAGATACTATTTTGTTAACATTCTCTATACGATTGGCTCTGATTGGACAATTGGTCATGTAAACTTGTTACTTGACCAATCATCGACTCGCGTGCGACCACATGCCATGAAGACGCATTTTCGTGTTGTTGAATGCATAAGGTAAACAACCTGTAATGAACTAGCTAACACGGAACGTAATCCCCGCTACCGTCACTTGTAAATAGTTAATCATGGGACATCTCTAAAATCGCTTAGATCATCAGTGGTCCATTCAACCAAAGTTCTTGACCAGACAAGAAGCCGCCAGCAAGACTTCCAAGTAAAGGTTAGTTAGGGTCACTTTCATTCCTTTAGGGCTACTTGCTTATAATTTCTAACAGACTAAAGATCCTGCAAGATGAAGTTAGACAAGGGGATTCTAGTTATTCATAGTTTTTCAATTCATTCGTTTTATCTTCTTTATCTTCTTATGACACAAATGCAAGTTTGATCATGGAGGGTCACTTTGAAAATCTAAGGACTGAAATTCTGTTCTTGTGTTTCAAAAAACGATTCACTGACAAATATGAAAAGATCTTTAATTCGTTTAGAGGATTGAGGTTTTGCCTTGTAGGTGTAACAAGTTATTAAAAGTTGGAGAAAACTGACACTCTCTTCGCACCTAACAAAAGTAAACGAAATAAGCATATCGCACAATTAATTCAAGCTGTTGACGAGTGAACGTTCCTATTAAGTTTGAGCCACTTCTTAAGAGTCCTTCAACATCACCTCTCATCATAAATTTTGTCTGGAATACTAACACATTTTTCTTTAAATCCAACTTGATTGATAATGAGGTGCGTTGATAAAAAATGCATCATGAGAAGGGAATAACTTTGCAAATTGCGTTAACGTTTGTTTTCTCTTGGTAGATCTACGAGTCCGAAGACAATTACCTATCCAACAAAATGAAGTACGTTGTTCTGTTGTGCCTTCTCTTTGGCATCGTTATGTCACAGGGAGCTCCAGCCCCAGGTAAAGAAACCTTATAAAGTTGTCTCACCAAGTTTCTTTAATCTTAATGACGAGATAAAAACTCTTTAGTGTTCTTAACTCTGATTCATTGACGCTGACGCCTTCCAATGGTTAATTAGTAAATTTCATTGCCGATGCTTGAAAAGATTCCATTATAGACAAGTTAGTTGCTAGTTCTTAAATGTTTCATACATCAGAGAACACGATAGCAGCTTTAACAAAGTCAGTGAAGGACGTTTTATTGACATCAATTTACGGGAAGCAAGAAATATTAGAAATTGCTGCTTTTGAACCGTTACTTTTATTTGAATAATAACAGGAGATTTTTGTCGATAATTTTTCATATCAAATTCCCACCCGAAGTTAAAAACGTAGTTATGATTACGACAATCACAGGAATAGCTTTTCGTTTGTATCATTTTTAAAAACAGTAACTTGAAAACTGATCCTAATCACTTTCGGTTGATAATCCGTTGTGAGTAAGAACAAGTAGAAAAAGTGAGGTTTGAACATTAGGCTTTACATCTTTACCAATTGACCTTTAAGGAAATACCGCAACATTTATTTCCGTTGCACTATTTAATCATAACTACGGAAGTTTTCGTTAATTTCCAAACCATGTTCAGGCTGTGCAAGATAGAGAACAGGCCACTAATGTTAATTTTCTACCCAAGGTTAGGGAAGACATTTGGTGACCTTCAACCATATTACACATCTTGGTACTCAATATCCGATCAAAACCATTGTTTATTTCTAAACACTGCGTTTTTAACGCCAGCGTTCCATTTAAAGACTCGTGTTTACGATATCACAACAGGTTGAGAAGAAGTACTTGAATGATTAAGTAGGTTCCCCGCTAAAAAGTTTACAACAAGCATATCACTCGTTCAACAGGTCACTTGACACAGTTACACAATCGTACAACAAACTGGTATAAACAAAAACTCTGCGTCCATGCCTTTACGTCGACATTTTAAATTATCAAATTCCAATCATAAAGAGCAAATATCGAAGGCAAATTGGATCCCCCTTTACGCAATAAGCATTTGTCAAAGTTCTCAACTACATTTACGAAGCATTGGCCTTACGACCCAGCTTTTGAATCGGAAGATTGCTTCGTCATTGTTATCAAAGGAAATTCATTTTATTTGCATTGCCCTATGCAACCGAACACAACAATTTTCCAAATACTGTTTGGCCTTTTTTTTAGGATAGGATTTCAAAACATTTCGAAAATTTTGTAAGTCACGAGCCTCTGGCTCGTGATTCAAAAGCTTTTCAATCTCATGTTTGCCAACATCCATAAATGAAATTAAAATAGTTACAAAGATTGTAGCTACGACAATGGGGAGAGAGAACGGAAGTGAAAAAAAGAAAGACTTGCCTGAAGTGGCAGGGATAGAAGACCCTTCATAGAGGAATATCACCAACAAATTAAAAGACGAATTTCATTCGGAGGTGGAAGCCGGTGAAATTGAGATTGGCCATTTAAACAGATAGCTACCTGAACCTTCTCAAAACACGGTTTCTCTGACACTATACAAAACTGATGGTAATTTAATCAAATAGATGTAACATACAATGCAATAAGTGTTACAATTGCTGTGCGTGTACAAAATGAGAATTCCTCACGTTTACCTCTCTAAATCGCAGAGGCAGAGGAAAAGAAAGAAGAAAAGGAGGACGACACTGGTGATTTCGATGACGATGTTGCAGATGATGCCGACGACTCCGACGACTCCGACGATGAAGACGACGAGGATGACGGTGAGGACAGCAGCGAGGGAGATGATATGGATGAAGAGAAGAGGGACGAAATCCCCAAAGAGAACGATGAAGCCAAGGAGGACAACCCCGATGCTCCTGAGAAGGAAGACGAGAAGGTGAACGATAAAGAAACTGAAGAGAAAGATGCCGATAAGGAGGAGGACAAGAAAGCTGATAAAGAGGACAAGGAGATCGAAAAGGACGATAAGAAAGACGATAATGAAGATGAAGATGAACTAGCTGATGATCTGGATGATGAGGATGACGAAGATGATGAAGATGATGAAGATGATGAAGACGATGAAGATGATGGTGATGATAGTGATGATGGAGATGATGGTGAAGACGAGGAGGATGAGGAAGACAGCGAGGACAGCAGCGAGGGAGGAAAGAAGGACGACGAAAAGAAAAAGGAAGTCAAGAAGGAGGACGAGAAGCCCGAGAAGGAGGAAAAGAAGGAAGAAAAAAAGGAGGATGCCACCAAGAAAGCCGACGATGATGATGACGATGACGATGATGACGACGACGATGACGATGATGACGATGATGACGATGAAAAGAAAGATGACAAGAAGCCAGTAGAGAAGAAGACCGAAGAGAAGACAGCAGATGTCCCAAAGAAGGAGAAGACACAGTAAAAAGCTACATTGGCAGCTTCTTCTAACTCGACATACTTAACCAATCAAACAGCTACACTGTCACATCACACAACAAACTTTGTCAACAGTTGACAAAACACAGATGACTACGATTACACAAAGAACTTTCACTTCAATCATTCCAGAATGATATTTTATAGATGAACATTAGTTTACAAAAGTAACCATAACGTCGTTTAAAATAACTTCATCCAAGGAACATGTGTGGAAATGTACTGAGGAGAGGTTCAATAACTCTTACGTGATTCAAATTATGGATCGACTCGCTGGGAGTAATGTACTAGTGAATAAGAGGGCTATATAATAAAGAGTTATTTTTTGAATTGACATGCACAATTGAGCAATATTGCGATAACTGTACCACGCATATGCCTTGCAGCTGCTTGCTTAAAAATCCCTTCACAGCCTTAGTTTTTAAAGCCCGCCTTGGTACACCAAATCAGTAACATTTAGCAAGACAAATTCCAAGGTCATAATGACCAGATATTTCCCTATATGATATGTGGTTAGGTTTTTTCCCTTATCAGAGTGTGTTTGTTACCCAGGGGTTAGTCAGTATCTTTAAAATGCGGTCCTCCTCTGAAGCAATTCAGCCACGTTTCAAATAACACAATGAGTTCTACACAGATCATGATTGGTTTTCATCCATGATTATATGAGGAAAGACATAAAAACAGGATCATAAGGAGAAATATTTGAATTATCATTCCCAACATGCCCAAGATTCCATGATTCCAACGTGCATCACTTACAGATTATAATGAAACACATACAAATGTGATATGAAAATCATTTTGAGGTCATATTTGGTTATCATGGTTTAAACAAACAGAATCATTGCCACCTTTTTAAAATAATCAGAATATCAACGGTACTGGTCCAAGCAACCTTACAGTACTGGGAGATGCTGTGGTTTAATGATTAGGGTGCTAAACCTTGGAAACTGGATAAGCTCCAAAAGTAATTGGCCACATACATGAATAGTGATGTCATACCCACTAACTATTAACTAAATTCTGCTCTTCAGACATGCAAGCAAAAAAACCTTCCTTGAGTCATTCAGTTTGGTAAAATGTCACCAAATACTATCTCATACACAGTAAAAACCCATCCAGTTTTAAGATCCGTCTACTAGTTTTCCTCTGGACTGCCATATATTCCTTGCAGGGTTGTTAAGAGGATGTGATGGTTTACTACAACAAGATCCCACTGTTAATAATTTCAATGTTTAGTGTCAGTGCAAGTGTAGTCAAGTGGATTAATCAGAGAATTTCCAGGAGAAATTTTAAGAAGTACAAAGTCATTTAGAGGGAAAAAGGGTTTGTTGCTTTAATATGTACCTGTTGAGAACCAGCCAAGCTCTCTACTAAGGTGAAAATCAAGTACACATTTTTTCTCTTAAGAAAGACTTTGTGGTATTAGAAATGTGAAAAGTTACCTTTTTTGCAGTTGATGTAACACATTTTAAAATATCCAGCCAGTTCCATCATGTATTGATCCTGCTGCAAAATGTAATTGCAAAATGTAACATCCAATAATCAAGAAATATGTCACTGATATCTCTTGCAATACGGGAGAAACAGTAGCCCAGTGTTTAGTGCACTGGACCCTGGGTGGAGAGGCATGAGTTTGAGATCTGGCCTGGTCATTGTGTTGTGTTCTTGGGCAAAACACTTCCTTCTCAGAGTGCCTCTCTACACTTGCAGTAGAAAAAGAAGCAGTGGAGGCCTAGCTTTTCAAAGCCTTGAATTCTCTCCAAGGATTTTGAACTTGATGTTCTTCTATGAAACCACTCTAACCCCACCACGAGTTTTCAGCAAGTGCTGTTATACAGAGAATAATACATGGGCGCGCGTAGATATGGAATTTCTCTCCGAGTGTTTAACTCAATAGCTCATGAGTAAGCACAGCGAACGAGTGAGATGTCGAGTTGAACACGAAAAGAGAAATTGCATATCTACGAGCAACCATGTGATATTATGTTTATATTTACTGACAAAAAAGCCAACTTTATCAATGAATGAAAATAAATGGATCGACAATTCCCGAACAAAAATCGGACAGTGCGTAGGCGCTAATGCTCAAGATGGAAAAAATGCGTTGAATCATAATAACAAAAACAACAATGGGCGTAATTTTCAATTTGCAAAATTCTCATTCATCGACTTTGTCCTTACTGACAGAAGAAATCTTCCAGGTAAACGGCCAAATCGGCCTGTGGCAAATCTTCCAGATGTCGATTTTCGTTCTTAGCCGCGAGAAATGCCATTACCAAAGCCACCGAATACGTAATTTTCGGTTTTTCTTTTCGTATATTGGTTTTCTTCACCTCGTAGGAAAGTTTGAATGTCACTGTCTGTACACGAACTGATTTTTCAGTATTTTAGCGGCCATAATTTGAGAAGATTCCGACAAACTACCTTGGATTAAGAATGGTGAAGGTTTTGCCGTTCATTCATCAGCCTGACCGAGTGGCGCGAAAGGCGAGTGACGTTCAGCAGCTGATTGGTGATATCAAACACACGTGAAGAAATATCGTATCATTACGGCTTTTCTCGGGGCTGGAAATCCTTGTACAACACCGTAGTTTATATAATAATTTTTTTCCTGTTGGATGTGAAAATATGCCACAAAATAGGGAGGGAGGAAAGTCCAAATCATTCACATGTATCGCAATTCAATGTAGCCTTAATCGCACATTTTCAAAGACCTCAACAATAATCACACTAAGCTTTCACAATTAGCTGTCACGCAGTGTTGTGTGACGGCTCCTCTGACCTCTCAGCCAAAAATTAAATTGGTTTAAATACACACTTTAGTACCGTTAGGGTTTAGGTTATGTAAGAGGTAAACTTACTGTACCTTTTATTCTCCTCCGGCTCGAAAACAAACGAAGCTGTTTACATCTTCATGATTGTTTCAGCTGTTCTTGGCCACCCGAATCAAATACTGGGTACTGGAATCATCGTTTCTCATCAGTAAACATACAAAATCAAAGGTGAACATGGCTACCGACAGTTTAAACCATCCAAGTGCGAGGAATTCGAAAAAAAACAAAAACAAAAAACACAGAAATTGGAAACAAACAGACGACAGGAACGGGCTAAAACTGAATACAGTTGTTCAGCGGATTGCCCTGAAACTGTACTCGCCCCAGACCCAGCAACGTTTCCCACGTGCAATAGAGACAACATGGCGAGATCGAAGGACAAGAAGAAGGACGCAGAAAACGGCGAAGCAGATGAAACAAAGGACGATTCGAGGATTGATGAACCTACTATGGACTATGAAGAACTTGTGAAAAGAGTATGTGTAATTGCAAAGCCCCTCGCAAGCAGAAAACTTACAAAACGATTGTACAAAACTGTCAAGAAAGGTAAGCGTGGTGTTTATCTGTATGGTTTGATGGCATAGGTTTCGATTGCGATTTGACTGAGATCCAGCGATAAAAGTTTGATCAGGGCTGTCTAAAATTGTTCTTACCGTTTTACCGTTCATTTCTTTGTTAAAAAGTTACGATACCCAACAGGATTGTTAATTGTTTGGTACAGATACCTTCATGTAAAAGTGTGTTTTTTTCTTCTCTCTAGCATCCAAAGCGAAGAGTTTGAGGAGAGGAGTCAAAGAAGTAGCAAAAGCCTTACGAAAAGGCGAGAAAGGGTGAGAAATGTGATAATCATGAACAATTACTGTTTTGGTAAATGGTTCATATGATCTGCTGAGACTCTAATAAGCTCAACAAATCGTTAAGTACAGTAGACAGTGAAACATGTTTTTGTGTGTGAAAGTGATATCTGTATGGTGGCAATCTTTTTCTGTAAGGTTTGTTGTCATAGCTGGTGATGTCTCCCCAATCGATGTCATATCCCATATTCCCATTGTCTGTGAGGACAACAAAATACCATATGCTTATGTACCATCAAGATTGGTGAGTAATTCTGCTTTTTCTTCTTTATGGATGAACTTAATTTTTACACTATTACAACAGTATTTTGTAGATTAATTCCTAAACAGATAAGTAACTGATTGACAATTATTTTAGCCCTTTACAAGAACCTTTAGAAATAGACTAAGATTTTGAGAATGCAAGTAGTGGGGTAAAAATCAGCTAATAATTGGGGGCAGAAGTTGTTCAGGGCTAGTATTTGGTGCAGGGGACTTCAGATTATAGGGTGTGAGTTTGACAAAGGTTTGAATAACTTTTTCCATAAGTAGCTGCAGATAACGTGATAGGCAGCTGGATTCAGAAAAGTAGCCTGCAGTGCAGGCGTCTTATTAAGGCAAGCTAAAGTTATAAGCTTGCGATCATTCATCTGACCAGCCATGTTTGATTTGCCTACCACTGCCATTGAAATCAAAGATGGTAGCGATAATTTTCATTAAGAGAAAAGTGAACACTTGCTTGCTAAAATTACACCTGCTCTGTAGGCTATTGGAAAAGGAGCTGTAAGGCAGAACCCAAACACAAGAGCCTGCTCACTGGCTAAAAAGACAGTGATAAGAGGTGTTATAGGTAATGTTAGATCACCAACAAATGGCTTTTACTGAAACCCTTGGCTTGACCTTCAGTTAGGTGATGGTGTTGTGTTCATGAGCAAAACCTTTGGAGTACCTTACTGTTTGTGTGCTTTGGTGGGCTTGTGTAAGTTCCTCAGGGCTATGCCCCTTGGGGTTGTGGAATGCACCTGGAATATTGCTCCAGCTACACCAGTCCAGGTGTTCAAACCCAAACTGTATCATCAGTTACTAACTAGTGTTTTATTTAAAGGGAACTCTACAGTTGCTTCATGACACAGAGATATGAGAGATGTGACAGTCTGATGACTCCATCAGTGATACTGAATTTGTTTATTTGCAGGACCTTGGAGCTGCAAGTCAAACCAAACGACCCACAAGTATAGTATTGGTCAAGTCCCATGAAGACTTTGAGGACAACTACAAAGAGTGTTTTTCAGAAGTGAAGAGCTTGCCACTTCCATTATAATCTTCTCAAATATGCATTTTGTGAGGGGGGAGGTTAAATCCAGAGCTCAAAGCCCAGTCAGTCCTCTTAACTAGTCTTACAGCTTTATTAAATGTAAGAAGTCATTTCTTCTTAAGAACTGACTGGGTCAAAAAGCATTGGTGAAAATGTTGCACCACTGATGTATACATGTGATATCTAAAACCCTCTTAACTGCATGTGACAGATTTGTTTGTCAGTGGTAACTATCGCAAAGCTAGGAAAAGCCAGGGCCCATGTATTAAATGAAATGAGAAATCCAAAATCATTTCCCATTTGTATGATATTGTTGACTGGATGCATTTTGTTGCTAGGCTGAAACAATGTGGTACTTTTCCCATTCATACACTAGTTGTCTTAGGTGTAGGACATTTTCAAGTCTTTTGTCTAGTTATTTTGAGGTTTATTTTTTAGTGAAACCACACAATCACAATAATAATTGGTATGTAGATTTGATGAGTGAGGTTGTTATTTTTTTGTCAATTTTGTATCATTTACCCGATTATGAAAGAATGATTTACCACAGATGAATAGGCACTTTCCAGTCAGCAATCTTATGGTAAAAAAATGCCTTGAACTGGAAAGCAGGTTATACACTTAGACATCAGAGAAAATATGGGTAAAGTTTATGTATTTGGGTTATTTAGGGTGGGAATTTGCTCTCCCGCAAGGTGTTTTTTAGCTGGTGTAATAACTAACTGCATAGGGCTTTACCATCACTTTGGTGCTTTTGCAAAACTGGTCATAAAAGTCTCTTTTATGTAAGACTTTGTACTGTGTTGCTTATGCATGATGCATAGAATAAACCCAAGTGGAAAACAAGATATGTCCACCAGTACCTTGCATAAATATTTCCTCTGAATTCTGATACATGAATGGCTGCCATAATAACAATTAAAATAAGTTGTGAAGTGACTAGTCATTTGATGGTTTGTTGTGGTTTTTTAAAAGGAAAGATTGTAAAGTGTAAACTGGGGGATGTAGCTAGTCTGCATAACAACTGTGAAGTTGTCTGGTGAATGATACTCGTCTGTATTCTTGGAGGGGGTGCACGGTCCTTTCTCCAAATTTTGACCTTAATTTAGACTTTGATATGCCTCTTTGACATCTATTTTCTTACTAACATTCTGATAGTTGTATTCGGCTTGCAAATCCACAAATATTGGGATTTGAGCTTCGCTTCGTTGCCGAAGTCACGAATTGGTAAATTATCCCTAAAACTCAGCTCAAATGATATTTTGTTCCATTCTCTCTTATATGGTATACACTTGAAATTAGAAAAACATACAATTTTTACACTGATGTGGTAGCCTTGAAAATCATACCCAATTTAAGATCAAAATGGTAAAAATCTACAACCCTTTTCAGAGGTAACAGTCGTCGTTGTCTTCTTGCACAGACGCTCCTAATTTCGTCGCCTCCGGGTGAAGTTGGGGGTGACGCAGCCATTCATCGGGGCGACGAAACGTGGGGCGACCGTGTATGGGAGCGACATCACCTACATCCTTTTCAGCTAAACGTGCTCAAAACCGTACCATTCGGCACGGTATAGATCTCAACGACATGTAGAGGGGGTACCTACCCCCGGACTGGCAAACACTATTTCATGGTGGCACGGATGAAATAATTATTACTACAAGAAAGAGCTAATTAGGCCTGAAACATTTTTCACATCTGCATATATCGAATGGAATTTATTTTTTTAAATAGAAGTGACAATCATACACTGTACTCCAAATAATTTATTTTGCAAAATTCCTCGGATTTTTCAAAAAAATATTCTTTTTTTTTTGAGTATGAAAGGTCAACCGAAAAATTTCTGCAATGTATAAACTTCATTGATTGTAAAAGATAGACAGGAGTAGTATGAAATTATTTAATTTCATTTTCACCTCTTTCGAATATAAATTATTCGTCTGCGTCTACATAAAACAGTTTTGAATCACACGTACAGGGTAGTGCTTTAATTGGCAGTTTTTCAGCCTCAAACAATGTCAAACAATCTTCTTGAATAAGTTTTTTCTTCGTTCTACGTCACAGATACAATAGATCACTTGATTTTTTTTTCCTTATCTACCATTATTTCTTAACCTATTGTTCCATTATCGCTCCTAGCAACTTCGACCAGAAATGATCTGTTCACTCAGCGAATACGTAAAGCAGCATTTAAACTTATTTAGAACGCTTAATTCAACATCGATATCCCACGAGATACCTCATTTGTTCGATAATTCTTTGATTGGCCTGGATTAACGCGAGTTTGGATCACTACAGCACCAAGTAGAGATAATAATATCGCTGCGATTCATCTCATCGATAAGATAGTTCGGGAAAAGACTCATTTCCAGCTGACAGCTTGTTCGGTAACATGTTATTAACTCGGCAGACCGTAAATTATTATTTTAATTTAACTGTTTAATTTTTCGACAATCGCCGCCATGTTTTCTTGAGGTGCATCGAGGCATACTTCTTACACCGCCTAAGTCTCTTTGAAGGATTTAACTCTTGACAAAATTTATCTTAAGTATTTGCTGTCTGATCTTAGTATAATTTTATTTCCACGACACGCGGGGTGCCTAAAACGCGCGCGTGATAATTCGTGCGATGGCGCAAGACTCCCAGGTGTGGGTTCTCGTCAGAGAGGTGTCGTCGATCCAATATCTTCACAGCGGAAGACTGGGAATAATTTCTAACGTGCAGATGGTTTTGGTGGGTTTCCACCAGCAAAATAAATTTTAATGTAGATGAGTTCTGTTTCTCACCACACCCTGCAAACGCCGTAGAGGGATTTAACTTAAGAAAAGCCATGCTATTTAAACTAGTTCATTTCTTGGCTTAGTTTTCATGCTGTTATCGAAAGCGGTAAAAGGGTGTTTTTAAATCCTAAAATTTGAATACACACACAGTACTTGACGAACAAATAAATAGATTCGTCTTCTAGCGGTTACTTTTAATGACACAATTCTTGAAGCATTCATTTGAGAAGAATTCACTGCATTAGTAAGGTCAGTTTTAACTCGATAAGCGTAAAAGCCGAGGGCGGCTCGATTTGTTATTCTCATTTACAATCATATCATTCCATTCATATGCAATTATTTAAATCCTGTAACTATGGGAGTGGATTTACCAGAAATGTTTAGATCCTTCTCTATCACGTATTTACATTTTATAATATACTTTAGGACATTTACATAAGCGCATTCTAGCGTAACTTGGACGCAAAATACTCGCTACGTAAGCGAAAAGTGTTTATTAGATCGCCATTTCAATACAATCCTAACAAACGAATAGCAGACAACCCGGAGAAATCGACGGGTCAAAATATTTAGCGATACTTTCGATTCGTTTCAACATTCGTCTTCAACATCTTGACAGTTTTTCAGCACACCATGCTTAAAATAAAAAAAAAAAGATGTCGAAATTTTGAGCATTTGATGGCCCATGGGACGTAATCGTCGAATTAACAATTAAACGACTAAAAAGATTGCTTTATTCTTTCGTCTTGTGGTAAACGAAATGAAGAAAAGTCCAATTCACTCAGTAAATGAGTCTTCACGCAGTCTGTTTTGTATACCAAGTCAGTTTTTCTTTCTCGCTCACTGTACTCTGGCACAATAGGCGATTTCTCTTGCACGGCTGTATCGAGAAATTTCGCCCCACCTGCACGTCCGTGGGAAAAACTGTTACAGCTTAAACTCCTCTTCGTCGGTGAGAACATGTCGTCGACTTTTCTTGCTATCTCTTCGGCTCCTCCATATGATATGCACGATTTTTAGCAGTAAAAACAACGACGTAGTTCCTAGTAGGGCGGCATTGAAGATCGAATTCCGCTTGTCTTTGTCCCAGAACTCCATGAAAGTTCCCGTGAAGCCGACAATCATTGGTGTGTAGGGCGTAACGGTGTATAATGTGAACTTCCAGAACACAAAATTATCCAAACAAAACCAAAAGAGAATCGTCGAGCCGAGTCCAGCGAGGACCATAGTGCAGGCAATCTCATCATCCACTTCAGCTGTGTACTTCAACACAATTGCGGTTTGTTGGAAGGAGTTGTACAGCGCCCAAGACGCGTACAGGCCTATTCCGTTAATGACAAGCACTTCCATCGCGATCTGGTCGCCTGTTGGAAATTTTTTCATCCCGTCTCGGAGGTTGTTAAATCGATTGTAGACGATTGCTAAAGCCACGAACAATGACGCGGCTGTGCCACCAATGAATCCCAGAGCAATATGAATGAGATCTTCACCCCACATCATGACCCATCCAAGAGTAAAGCCGAACGCTAGCAGGGTAAACACGAAGAAGAATGGAGTCAAGACCTTAGGGCCATACCGCCGACACATCAAAATAAGCGCATAGAACAGCCAAAGGAGCTGCCATCCAAGGACAGCACTCCATGTCCAAAAAGTCCATTCTGCGGGGGTTATTTCCACGGGATACCTTTGAAAGATCTGTAACGTGCGATTGTAAACGTAGAAATCTAGAATGCTTTCCTCTGCGTACTGGCCAAAGTAGAAGAAAACAGCCGCCCCAGCGAAGACGAGAAACGCAGTGATTGTAAGGAAAACCACAACGCACCGGTTCATGTTGCACATCGCTTATCGACACTTTTGTCAGCTAAGCTTTACCTTGCGATGCGCTCGGCAAAATGTCCGTTACTAGCGAAATGAATAAACTAACAGACACGTGCAGTGAAGTGTGAGCACATTTCTGACACTGGGCGTCGTTGCGCTGAGCTTTTAAAACTTTTATTTGCTGCAAGCTATATTATATGTAAATTTCTTAAGGACTCGAGCGGGCGATTGTACGAGAAACACATAATGACATCAAAACATGGCCAATGATTGGCAGAGGGATTTGCGTACCAGGTGCGTCTTGACAGGGCGCCAATTACGAAAGCAGTCAATCAAACGGAACAGAATTATTTTAAACAAAAGTGACTTTAGGTTGTTGTAGCGAACGGCAATCAGCATTTTAACAAGGGTGGCCGATTGATTGTCTCGCAAATTGCTAGTCAAATTTTTCCGGCGCAGTACCTCTGATTTGAGAAAAGTTCGAGGTTTAGTTTTTTTCTTAAATACAAGCTTTCGTCCCGCTAAACACATTTTCCTTTAGCCGTTCACAATTGAACACCGTAAATTAAATTTTTGGCTGTATTAGCTAATGTATGCTAAGTAACGTAGAATGTTGAACTGAATTAAAATGCCAAAAACCAAAATAAAGTGAAAATTTTTCTCGACACAGCCAGCCGTTCAGTTTTGCGAGGCGTCGACTTCTCTTCGATCCGTCTTCAACTTGATAACAGCTTTTTGTCCTTTTGATTTTTTTCCATGAAAGAAACCTTCCAACTGGTCAATTACTTCTGTGGCTTAGGGATGTAATGAGATGGCTTGTTTCTGGAAATACTGAATGGCTAATTAATCGCTACAAAAAATGCGACAAACTTCAACGCCTCCAAAAGTTTAATTTCATTAGACCACTGCTAACAGGAATGAGAAGATATCGTTTACTGATTGTCACGATAGAAAGAAATGGCAGTTCAATCTAGATCTTACAAGATAAATGACCCTTTTTCGATCTCTGCGTATAATTCCGGCTGTAATTATATGTAAAATAGGCTATGTAATATGTCGTTATTCTAGTTTGACAGCCAGCTTGATAAATAACTTATGACGACGAACTGGCTTTGACAACAAATATCAGTCCGCGAGACCTCAGCGGCCCTAGGCGCAACTTTATATATATAGTACTTACGTCACCCTCATGTGAACAGCTGCAAGTGTCACACGAGTAAGACCAAGTAAGCGCTTTGTGACATGCATCACTGTTTAAAGTAAAATCACATACAAACTTTTTTTCAATCATAATTTCTGTTTCCTTTATACAAATGTTACCACCAAGAAATCTCAAAGGCTCCCCATGTTTACAAAAAATACAATTATTTCAATACGTCTTTTTGTTTGTCTTTCTCTTTGCAGATACATATTTTGGTTGAAAAACAACCTTAGCAATCTAATATTTGTCATTCAGCTTTGGAAGATGAGGCAAGTTCTATCACGTTTATCGAAAAGAGAGTTAAGATTTAAGAATCTAGCCAATCAGAGTTAAGACAAATGTAAGTAACTAATACTGCTGGTCAAGAATCTTAATTTAACAGGAATAATATTTGGTTTATTCTTTCTAAAAAAATAACAGATTACAAGGCAACAGCAACAACACTCTTACAAAGCGCTTAGACGTTATTTAGACAAATGTCAGAGATGATTGTTGACTGGCTCTCTACCGGCCTAGGTGCCATATTTTCATTTCGTAAAAAATATTTGTATTTTTTCGCGACACACTGACACAAAGCAGAATGTCACAAACTCAACAAAAGTTATGTACGTTAGAACATCTCTGAAATGTTATACTGGTAAAAAAATACTAATCGGAATACAGCAATGTATGTTTTTACAGAGTACAAGAATTTCATCAACTTCTACGAAATATTTCACAAATAACAAAACATTTTTATGACTTCATAAAAAACTTGATGGTTAGAAAAATAGCCATAAGGCGTAGCAGACATTTCATGAGGATCAATAACAGAAAAGTATAGACTTCAAAATTCAGCTTTCCACAAAGGGATTTTTCACCATATCGGTCCGTTGACTGGTCGTCACATAAGCTTATGTGCTCATCGATTCTTCTGAACCTTCGGGGGAACTGGTGGCGACCCTTTTACCTTTAAAATCGTGGACGTGCGCGGCGGAAGGGCTGGAGACTAGAAAAGAAGGTAGGACATAGCAATTACAAGTGATCACTGGAAACACTACACGACGAGATTAGCGTAAACAAGTAAACCAATTAATGTAAACAAGTACGAAACGTATTTCATCGCAGTCGGCAACTGCTTTAGTCCTTGGCGTAAAAGAACCACTCAATGTTTAAAGGGTGGTGCTCTCTCGCGGCTGCTGCATAAGGTCCCCAGGTTCAGACGAATAAGTTAAAATCAGAATAAAATATTTAAATTTGTTAAAACAATGATGATGATGATGACAGAGATGATGCTGAACAGAACAAAATCGTCTGGATTAAACAGACAACTGCGAATAATGATTGTAGATCTATGAAAAAAATAATATACTTGAACTGCGGTAAAGAAACGAATACAAGAGATCCTCGCAACTATAAACATTACTGAACTAGTAGTTGAGATAAGACCTGAAAAAAGAAATCTGCGAGTTTGTTCTTTGGAAATTTGTCGCTCTTTGTAACGTGAAAGTACTTCGAACCATCCAGCACTTCAACAAAATGGGTCAACTCCCCCTTTGTTCTTAGAGGACAATCTCTTACTGGCTGGGCAGCCTAAGACACTACAGAAGGATTCCATATCGTACAACGCTCGGCAGCGAAATCGGTGCGAGACTATTTACGTTGTCTTGCAAGAAACAAATCATCCTTTGGCTTACACAAATTTACTTCTGGGCACTACACATAGAAAACTTCTGATTAGATACGGACCGAACAAGTAGCTGATTGACATCTGTCAGTGATTACCTGCTCTGCCTGCTCAGTACCATCAGATCCACTGGATTCAGTGCTGGAGCGCTGATGCACGTCAGCAGACTTCTTCCGCATAATAGTTTTCTGTGGCAGTTCCGGAGCCGGTTGGTGTGCCTGTGGAGATGGTCGAGGGGGTTTGGGTGGAGCGATTTCTGACAAAGGACTTGCTGTGTTCTTAAACTGGAATAGAAGAAATTTGTTTTCATCACTCAGTCAAGAATTGCTTGAAGCCTTAATTAGATTGATCACATTCACATACACACTGTTTTTAATGTAATATAAAGGGTTTGAAAGTACGTTAGAAGTACTACTAAGATAGCCGGTATAACGGGAACGACCTACCAATAGATCCGCACAAGAAGATTCACAAACGTTGGAAACAGTTTGCGTGAGAAACAATAATTCACGAAGTTACTGATTAGAACAACGTTCATGTGGAAAGAAAAGAAAACTCTCTGAAAGTCATGTATAACGTACTATCAAGAAACACTGGAAACCTTTTCTGCTGTTTTATAGACACAAAATTATGGCAAAATAACATGAACTTGTTTTTTAACATCCATGCAGTAGACCGAGTCCTATTTTAAGTGAAATTCTTGCATAGCATTTTAACTTGTGTTGTTCTCCAGTCCCGAATTTAAGTCTTGCACAGACTCCCTTCAACAGGTGTCAACCACTACCGGCACCATACAAAAGACTCATTCACGATATTACCATTAAAAACGAACCGAACAGAACGACCTAACTTCACTAACGGATCGAGACCGACCAATCACGACCGACCTACGCCACTCGTGTCTTACAGCCAATTACATCACGGCAAAACTGACCAATCAGTTTATACAAACCGGACTTAGAACGTTCGACTAACAACAACTATTCACTTGACTCTGATGATGACTTCCGCTCAGATTGTCGAAACGTCAGTCACCACTACCGACAACAGTCCAGGACTGCACTCACCCGAACGATCAAACTACAGTATTGCATGCTACTTATATTCTTTTTGTTTCTACAAGCATTCCCCTTATGCATATTTACCCCATCTTCAGTGTGCGAAAAGACTTCCACTGTTTTTCTCCTCTGTGGACGGCCCGCCGGACTGGACATAGTCAACGACTTCACCGGAAGTGGAGGAGGATTGTTTGCACTGCTTCCTCCGCCCGTAGAAACGATAGAGCTGAAAGAATTTGAGGAAACCCAAATAATAATCTCTTGACAACTATTCACCGAGGTGGAGAGGGCAAGTGGTTGATATTTACCACTGTCACTGAGGTAAATAGCTGTCTTAGTTTATACTTAATAGTGAGATAATATCGCACAAAAGAATGATTTTAGCTTATTCAATCCTGCAACGATTACAAAATCCCACGTGCGTTGCTCGGAGGTGAATAACAAAGGATATTCGGAATTTGAGTTGCCAATCAGAGCACACCTTCAACGCTATCCATTGCTTTAGTTTACACTGATAGTAACTATGTTTAGTTACTCTCCACAAATCTGAATTCATATGGGAAATTCTTGTGATGAAATATCATGGTGTCTACGTTTCTAGGACTGAACCCACACCGTTAGACAAACATTAATTGTCGGAAAATGCGAAAAATCTCAAGCTATAACTTACCAAATACCAACAAAAGTCTACATATGTGTTTTGATCACCCATTTCCCATTTCTGGGTTATTGTTTTAGGTTTGAACATTAAACAGGAGTGGAGGAGAGGAAAGGAGAGAGAGAAAAGCAAGGAGAGAAATTTGCCTTAAACTTTGGACACACAGGTTGCACTCTGGATCCCGAGGGGCATTTTGAAGCTTGCGCCTAACGAACGATACACTACGTATGAATAAAGGGGGTAAGTTCCTAAAGAAACTGTGGTCCTGCGTCGGTGGGAGAGTATAGTAGGTAATTTAGTGTTAACAACTGAGTTGAAAACGTAAATTGGCCACCGTGAAGAGTAAAAAGGCTGACGTTTCGAGCGTTAGACGACGCTCTGACTTCGCTCTGAGGAAGGGCTAACGCTCGAAACGTCGGCTTTTTTACTCTCTACGGTGGCCAATTTACGTTTTCACCTCAATTGTTAACACTAAATTACCTGCGATACACGACGTACTATACCCCCAGATTACAATTACAAGAAAATCTAGGCAACTAAGCGCAGTTAAAGTACGATTGGATTCGAAGGAGACCAAACTTACTCTGTCCATCCGCTATACGACTGGTGCATCTGATCCAGGCTGTCTCGGCCAGATATAATAGGCTTGCCCTCTCGTGACTTTCGAACAACTGTCATCGATCGGTCTCCAAAGGGAGAGGCGTCTGGTGTCTTTGGGTTACTGGAGATGCTTGCGCGAGCCTGTGCAAAGAAAATACGATACAGTCATTAGTGACTAAGTAGTACGTACAGGCGGGAAAATATTTGACTCAAGGTCATGAAGTACGGATCGAGCGCAACAAGGTCCGTGCGTCATCACCGAGAGTCAACTATTTTTCCGCCGTCCAAACCTAACTCAGTCAAAAAGCTTTTTGTCATGTGACCGTCGCTCTTTCTTTTTCTCGTTTCTTTCATCATCTCGCATCTCGCAGAGCTTTACGGCATTTTCCGGCCCAATTCACACCCAATTCACGTGCCATGGGGTACAGCCCTCATACTGTACGGGGATCTTTGTCTGACGATTCACAATAAAAGCGCGCGCAGGGCCACATGGGTCATATATTAATATTGCATTAGTCCTAACTTGTTTCAGTCTCTACGTCAGTTCTTCAGTCATTTTCAGCATTGCAGGATGGCTAATCTAGGATAGAAATTGAAGAAAGACGTGCAACAGATCTTTTTTTTCGCCTGTACTCACCTTTTTAAAGGGCGCTGTCTTAACCTTCATTTCCTTAAAACGTTTCTCGAGGTTTTCATGGAAAGGTTTTAGATCAGCTGAAACACGACTTCCGTGTAGTACCATTCCTTCCTCCAAAATTTCCACCTATATATCAATCAAATCACGTCACTGCTACATTAAAACCCGTATTTCATCGGGATAGCAAACATACACAATGTTTACTATTATGGTGTGCTACAAATATGAACTGCACCTTACGTATTCTCTTTACCCCAATTGAATGGAATTATTAATCAATTTTATATCGAGTTTAATCTCAAGCTCTCACCTGATCAACTATCAATTCTTTAAGTTTCTCAACGTACGGTGCGTAATCAGGGTTCTGTTTGATATATTCAGGAGTAAGAAATGCCTGAAATGAATCAAGAAACAAGAACATAATAAGTACACACCTCTTAACCAATAAATTTGTGTGTAAACCTCCTTTCGCATGTCAACACTGAGCCTTAACAATTTTTCTCAACACAAATGGCCGTTTGTAATCAGGGGTTATAATCTCAGCGCGTAAATAAGCTATTCTACCCTTTCGGCTTAATAAAACCGGAAGAGAAGCACCAACGTAAAAGATTAGCTAGTCGCTGGGTATGTAGAGAGGCTAACAGGTCAATATGTCCGACCTTTTCATAATTACTGACTCCTCCCATAACAGCTGCATCAATAATTCCTCCAAGTTTCATACTCAAGGGATTGATGTTCAGATTTGGGTCCACGTTGTGACGACCAATTAGAGCTCGAAGCTGCTTGTTAGCAGATTCCATTGTCTCCAGAGCATTCTGAACAGGACTCAGTTCCTCCTACATTAAAACGAACAAAAATAAAAATGGTTATCACTCCTTCCAATAAAATAACCTCGCTTAGTTACTCAGGCTATCGCAAGTGTTAAAAAGTGACGTAGATTCCGAGGAAGATCTTAGTCGTTTAAACTTGAATTTGACAATGTTTTTAGATCACTTCCCGTCGATTTTGACTGAGGAGAACATTGTCCCACGAGCGACCGCATTGCACTTTGGCAGTGGGAGTGTAGATGATTGCAAGACTGATCAAAAGACATGGGCGACAAATGACACATACCATGACATGAAACACAATGAAGAACACAAACTAAATTAACACAGCGACATAATATTATTCATAAACTCGAAATTCATGCATGCATTGCAGGCCAACACTCACTCACTCGCTTACTCTTAGCCGACGGCAATATGGTTAGTGTACTTTCAGTGCATTACAAAATAGTACTTCCCTCCCAAATGAAGCACGCACAATATCAAAATTAATCAAAACCAGCCAAAAACGAACAAGTTTTTACTATGTGAGAACAACACATGAAAAAAAAATCAACAGACCGTCTCAATAGAAGTTGCCTCGAACCAACACAATATACCAGGAAACGTGAACTTGGTATAAATGGTCGTTCTCTCCAGCCACAGCGTCTGCAAAAGGAAACATATCAGTTCTCCGCATCCGCTTAGTTAGCAAAAAAAATCAATAGCCTACTGTGGTCTTCTTTCTGAGTTTGTTTCATGACTAAGAAAGAAAACTTTCCTCTGCGATCTTAACGTCCCAACCGCACAAGTAGAACAAAGAGAAAATTGAAGTCCCCACGCGAATTCGTAAATCAAACCAGTCTGATTTCACAGTCTCATATGGTTCAACTAAGATATATCAAGGAGGTAAGTTCCAAATAAAACTGTGGTGTTGCTTCGGTGGGAAGCATTAAAAGATGCTTTGGTTTATAGGATGAGTTAAGTCACTGTAAAGAGTTTCTGAAGCTGTTGTTTCGAGCGTCAACCCTTGTCCACTGAAAAAAGGCTAAGCGTCACCTTTAGAACCTCGTTACAAAGGCCACTTTGCTTTATCAACTCATTTACTAAAACCAAATTATCTGTTAAGATGAAGCGTAGCTCGTCAAAGCATCCGACCAAAAGGAGGCTCACCGAGAATTCGTTGTCCTTGTTAACCTGTCCCTTATGTACTCCTCTGGAGAACTGAAAATGGTTCACATTGTTCACCTCGTAGAATCTGAAGGAAAGTGACAGGGTTGATTTTAGCGAAACAGAAGACACATCGGAAAAGACTGAGAGAGGAAAGTTGACTTAAATTTACTTAGTTATCTGCTCCAAAATGTTCTTTCTCCGAAATTTCCGCTTCTCCACTGGTACTGGGTCTACTTTGTTGATTTGGAGATCTGTTAACGTCAAGGATAACACTAAGAACAAGAGTCCACGTCAAATCAAAGGGAAGATAATGGGGGTTAGAGCTGGCGACGAGTTACTAGTTCACTAGTGCACGTACTTTTAATAGAAACTGAACAGGTTTGAAATACTGAAGCCTACACCACTATTTAAGATAGACCGCCTTTTTTTTCACGTGGACCATCCGAGTAGAAATCCGTGTTACTCTTCTCCAAATTCGGCCATCAGTTCCCTTGCTAGCTTTTTCCTGTGTTTATTTTGATTATTTTCACATTTTTCAATCGTTATTGCCCGATATTTCCGATATCTTTGGAAAGTCATTCGCTAGCCACGTGGGAAAATAGATCATTCTTTTCTTCAAGTCAAACTGCTAGTATAAAGGATACACTGTTGGCTGGAATGCTTAATTTCATTGGTAATGACATCCTTCATTTTGAGAATCTGCCATAAACGAAAAAAAACTTTGATTAATTTACCAAGTCAAATATTACTGAGCAGATGTGCCAAAGAAAGAAAGAAAGAAATAACTGTTCACATCTGAGGTATACCCCTCTCACATGTAGAAAATACTCTTGCGAATTCAGAAGAAAAGGCTTGAGACTAAGACATGCATCAACCCTCTGAGATCCTCTCCAACCAACCTTTAAATTGTACTCTGACTAAGGACGAGTAAATATGGCTGATTAACAATATCACTCCTTTACTTAGGAGTGATATCTGTGTAATTTTGCATCTTACTTGTGGCGACCGAAGTTAAGGGGCATTAAAAATTACAAAAAGTATGTCCAAAAGCCAACTGAATCATCAATTTGAGTTGGACAGATGTACACTGTTTGTTGCCATACCTGAGCACTGGGGTACTGACTCTGAATTCGAACGACAAACTCGCCGATTTTCTCGTACTCCTTGCCACGATACACGAACACTTTGTTCTGAAGGAAAAAAAGCCGAAAAAAAGTGTTATGCTATATTATTATTTTTTAAGTCTTGAATAAAATTCTTTGCCCTTTATCAACTTATAAATGCACACAAACAAAAAATAAACATACAAAAATACTAAATTGCTTTCGATAAATGTTGGATTCATTCCTCAGAAATGTAAATGAAGAACACAGTTCAACAAAATAAATAATCAAAGTTGTATTGAAATCCCATTTTGTTGAAATTCTGTTTCTTAAGATACCCCCTGCAACTCGTTGACCGTTGCACTCAAAACTATCCAATGAACGATTAAAACCAGCATAAGGAGCAATTCCCTCTCTATAATCACTCACACACCAACATAACGAAATTGCAAGCTAGTACAAGTTATTAAATTGAACAGTTGCAGTACTTACCCTTAGGAATGTCGGGAAACCAAGACCATAAAAGGCAACCTTGAAGTATTCTGGATCCCCACGGACGACCTTGATGATGTTATCGTAAAACTTGGCTTGTTTAATCTACAAATATAACATGAAAGCGATAAAAAATAAAGAGAAAATCAAGAAAAAACCAAGATGGCAAGAGACAAGGGGTAACGTGGCGGGAAAAAAGAGAAGGGGTTAAAGAGGCTACCAGGTTTAAAAGGGAAACAAAGAGGAAATCAGGAACAAAATGGTGACAAAATATTGGTTAAATGAGTGTCATGAGGATCAATGCAGGAAACACTTAGCAAACAATAAGGATAATCTTACTGCAACACTTTACATCGAAAAAGATCCATCAATTAAGAACAGTTAATAAAGTATGAAGCACATTAATCACAACTCGTACCAAACTATGTTTTACACAAATTCCAAATACGATTTTAGTGACCCATGTATATGCTACAACATAGAATATAAAAACTAGAAATCTTTGGGACACTTCTCTAAAACACTCGTATTTCCTTATGCACTCCCCTTAACTCAGACTAAATAGTCAACTTCTTTTCACACTTCCCCCTCTTCCTTCAAGGAATAATGTTAGTCCTACTGTGCACGACATTGGAAAAGTCAGTGTCAAAAGTAAATTAAGATTACATCAGTTATTTTGCCTCACTTTGACCAATAATTAGTCTAAGAAGCTCGAGAAACCTTCAACCAGGTAAAAAGCTTATATGCAAATTGGATGCACGAGCTATTCCACGAGTGGGCCGTGTATCTGAGTTCTGATTAGCTCATTTAACAATAGTTTTTTTCTAATTGGCTGTGGAGATCATTTGGCTTCGCTTTTTTGACATGTAATTTAAAAGCGTCATATCCTAGAAAACAATACACTGATGGGGTTGGAGGGGATTACACATTATAAAAATGAAGGTGGCCTCAACATTTCGAAATTGTGTCAAGAAGACGTTGAATAAGAGTAAACAAAATACGTATAGGGAATGAGTGACGCAATTCCTTTTTTTTTTCTCGAATACAAGGACGTGCATATCTTACCAAGATCTGGCTGAGTTGAATGAAATCAAACGTCTGCTCCTCGTACAGGATAGCAATTTCTTTGCACAGTTTAATGGCATACTCCCAGCACTGTGAATACAAGAAGCAACACAGTCTCGTGTCAACATGAGTCTTTTTATGAAACCCCTGCTCGTGATATAATAGATAACTATAGCTGCTTTCGAAACAAGAATCACCTAACCTCTGTGAGGGTCAACGGAGTTCTAAGTCATGAGCAGAGAGCTCAGAATCTTAGCCGAGTCTCTCTTGCTTTAATCAGTCCAGTGTGCAGCTACAAGGGTTAGTCTGATCCACAAAAGAAGCCTCTTCCTAAGTCCTAATATCAACAATGACAGCGCTAGAAACAAACGGTGGTGTGACGTTCTGTAGCGCTCTGCGTAGGGTTCAGAAAAGTGCAGGTGAGTTTACCTTTCCTTTGTCAAAGTAATCAATGATATCCCTGTACAGCATTTCCTTTAGTTGCAGCTGAGTAGTGGCTCGGTATTTTCCTTGGCTCGTAAAAACTGGCTCGTCAGTGAACTACGAGAAGAAAAGGAACACAACAAAAGGTGGAAAACAATCTTTACACAAGTTTTTTTTTTTAAGCGTAGGTGTGCAACAGCTGAAATTGATGTTGAGTGTATTGTTAACCATTTCCCTCTCTCCTGAAGCTACGTAATCCAAAAAGAATTTCTGAGATCCCGAGTGAGGAGCATGTCATCATTTAGATCGTTACTAACCTTCAAGTCATCGGCTCTTCTAAGAAGCGTGAAGGCAGCTTCAGTGTAATTCTCAATACTGAGGTGAAGTTCACACAGTTTGTACACATACCTAGTTAAAGGTTAGAATCCACAAAAAAACGGTTTTTGCCTCCATGAAATGTATTGAATAACTAGCAAGTGAAATTTGAGACGGTATGTGGCAGTGTAAATATTACTAGAATAGGCCGATGCTGCATCTTATTGCAGTTTTCTCTAGCCTTCTGTATGAAGTACATCCACGATACTTTTTGATGCAAGACCAACCGACAAATTCCTTCCAACGCCACCAATCAAAAACCTTTTTATCATTTCTTGCCTTTTGTTATTTAGGAGGATGGATGGATTGGACGATATGAGGTTACATCACACTACGATCTCCTAGCTTTCATAGCTGCCTGTGTTTTAAGAGTTTAAAGCAACGGAGCCGCAAACGAATGGGAAAGACCTAGAAACTCCGCTTATCATTTCCGTGGCTCTGTGGGCTTCATTACGTTTTTTCCGCGATAAGAGGCAAGTCAGAGCGTCGTACTCGCAGAAAAGGACTGGAAACTGGAAGATCGAATTCTACTCCTTCTTTATTTCCCGATTTTCGGACTCAATCACCCCCACTGCGATCATTGAAACTCAATTCTCGCGTCCAAAAACACCGCAATAAAAATAATGTATCGGCGCCCTCGCGTCCTATGATAAATAACTCAATTTTTTTTTTATTGAGTAACCAAAAGATTGCCAGCTACACAGGCTAATTATCTGAGATTGAACAGCGGCAAAATGTTTTCACTTACCGATCGTACATTTCTTCCTTCTTAATCTCTTTATAGAAGTTCTGTAATTTAAAACAAGAATCTTAATCACAAAAAGCAAGGCTGTTGACGATGTGTCTACACGGAAAAAAGGTATTTCCATGAACGTTTTAACTGTCGATAAATATGCCCCTCAATTAGCATACGCCTAAAAAAAGTAGCCAGAATGTGGGTGTTGCAATTTCGTAAACGCTTTTTTAATTCTTCAGATCTACCAGCTTTTTAATAGTGCGGTATCCCATCCCAATCACCTTCAGTTTGAGGATAGCCTGCGAAAATTAAATTTATGCTGAAGAAGGCCACATTGAAGCGTTTTGCCGCTTACCAGTACATTAACAGTGCAACTCATCCGGTTATCAATATTGTCATCCCCGAGTACGACAGTCCTGTAGTCCAGCAGCCTCTCCATAAGTTTGGTAACCAAGCCGACAAACCTAATCCCATCTTCTTTTCGCTGTGACGGAAGTTCGCTGAAGAGGTTGGACAAGCTAGAGAAGAGTTGGGTGAAAAAACCTTTTGAACGTTTCTATCCCAAAACATCACTAAAAGATCCTCGCACATAACTAATATCAATCACTTTGCGAGGAGTGAGACAATCCAGCAAATATAGTTTCCTCTCAATTCTGAACAGATTTCGTCAGTTACAAGGAGAGAATTTGGGCAAATCTTTTCACAAAAATTTCCATTAAGTGTGAACCATACGAATTTTATGAAGTGAGAGAGCGCACTCGAGCCAAGTATCCCACAACAGCAGGGCTAATCCTGTTATCTGGAATATGAACCGACTAGAAGATGGCTGGTCCATTGAAAGTTATCTTATAGTATTTTCAAGTAACTGACAAGTTTTTGGTGCCCAGGTATATTCCTGACAAGTTTTTGGTGCCCAGATATATTTCTGACAATTTTTTGGCGCCCAGGTATACTCCTGAGAAGAAAGAGACTCAGGGACGGTAAAACGATTTGCACTAAAGAACACGTTACAACTATCCTGCCCGGGACTCGATCATGGAAGTCCTGGAAACTAACTACCTGGCCACATCTCCATATAGGGCAACTGGAGTGGATGCTTTGATGAGCATCGGCTGGGACAAAATAATTACTCTTTACATCTAAATCAGTTATTTCTGAAGCACTCCACTTACATCTCATAAAACAGTTCCTTGTACTGTGTGTCCCCTTTTCCACCTTCAACGAGCACGTCCAACTTGCCGATCATTTCACTTTCAACCTTTCGAAAGCAATCAAAAAGCCATTACATAAGTGTAAGAATACAAAGCCAGGGGTTTCAACGAAAGCTAGTTACCGGCTGTCAACTGCTGTCTGTTGAGCCCACGAGCGCGCTCTCGTGTTTGGGTCAGCCGTCTATTGCACCACTGGCAGCTACTCTTGGAAAATGTTATTGAAAACCCTGAAAAGCTAATCCTTATAACGGTACTTACTGACATGAAGTTTCCTTTCGCAGCGTACTCGCACTGGATCATGTCAAAAAAGATGGGAATTGTGGCTCGTCGCAGCTCTGAAAAAAATTGTAAATGTACAGTACGGTACGAATTACCACTCCTAAATAAATTCAATTCAAGCTCTGAAAGGGAGGAAAGAGAACATGGGAAAATAGAGAAGCGTTTCTAAGAGGAAGGGTAAAAGGCTGTAATGACACTTGATAGTCTTCCTCGATAATCTTTCCGACGGAGTGTACATGGAAATATTTTTCCTCTTTATATTTGAAATGTCCCCTCTTTTGCTTTTTTTTTAATAGAAATTTGTCATCACAAAAGAGTCGAGGACGAAATTATCTACCGAGAGGCACTTGACAAGAGCACTCGCCAAAGCAAACTCTCCTTCACGTTAGGTCGTGGCTGGAGTGAAGGGCGAGCGATTTTTCCTCGGAAAAAAAAGCTATAGTACTAGGGCTGAGGCAAACGGAGACACAAGCTAATTAACCCTTTCACTCCCAAGATCTAATTAGTAATTCTCCTTACTATCTGCCATACAATCCTTATGATGTTAGTTCAGAGAATTTGGTATTGGATCCCCTAATAATCCCATAATTGAGATTCTTTTCTATTCTCATCGCCTACCTGCTTGATATTGTATTAATATTGTAAGGAGAAATTCTCCCCTGGTCACTTGTGGAAGTGAAAGGGTTAAGTTTCGAGTAACCAGGAGCTATCTTTTGAAGTCGTAACAGAGTTTCCGAGCCGTAGTGTTCAATTGAGAATAAAGAAGGGCAACGCTTAGTTAACTTCCTATTGCTACAACTCGTCTACTCTGTGCGAAACATCAATTACCAGGAGCCAGGGAGAGTGGGAAGGTCACTTTTCCTTTGAAATCCTTCCAAACACTAATTCAAATTCAAGGTGTTCATGTCAAGAAGCCTTACCGGTGTGTGGAATTAGTGTCATCTCCAGAAACGGTCCCACTAATCCAGGAATGAAGAACGTTTTGTGATCACCTGAAAAGAAGAACACAAAAATGTTATCAAATAAATGCGTCAATTTAAATTCTATATTGAAATTTGCCACTGAAACGAGATCATTCAAGATTCATGCAGTCATCTGAATCACAAACATTTCTACTGTTATAATTTTGGCCAAGAAAAGTCACCTGTCATATTAAGACAACTTGTCTAAAAAAATCTTAACGAACTGGTTGCTAATATGCTAACTAAAACGCTTCATGAATATGAAAGCGATCTTCGCAATAATGAAAACTGCTTGAGCAGTAGTGAAAATAAAGCCTGAAAAATTTTCAAGCCTGTACGGGATTTGAATCCATGACCTCTGCGATACCGGTGCAACGCTCTACCAACTGAGCTAACAAACCAATTGGGAGCTGGTCATAACGTTGGTTCCAAATAAACCCGTGAAGAAGTGAATAAACGACTGTGAATATATGATAGTCATATATTTGAACTGCGGATAAAGACGTGAATATGAAAGCGATCTTCGCAGTAAAGAACACTACTTGAGCAGAAGAAAAAATAAGACCTGAAAAATATTCAGACCTATACGGGATTTCAGGCCTTATTTTCGCTACTGCTCAAGTAGTGTTCATTACTGCGAAGATCGCTTTTATATTCACGTCTTTATCCGCAGTTCAAATATATGACTATCATATATTCACAGTCGTTTAAAACCCTACAGCTGTTCGCGGGTGAAAGATTTCCGGAATAAGAGGGCCCTACATTGAACTGAATGAGCATTGCTTGACTAGAGAACAGCTATGATGACACTGTACATGTCAAGTTTAGATCAATTCTCACCTAAAAGGTGCCACATCTCACTGATTTTCATTCCAATAATCATACGCATGTCTGCATATCTATAACATAAAATAAGTTGATGTGATCAGAATTTCAGAACCGTTATTTATCTCAAGCCCACATAATTAGATGTCTCTATTCGACATCCACGAGACGTATAAGTTAAGGTGAGATTTTACTCTTTTTGCCAAAGCCTGCAAAAGAGAAAACGTCGAGCTACCAACAAGGTAGTATGAGAGGAATCAAACTTAAAACCGGCGGATTTCGCGGTTCACTACTCTTCCACTGAGCTACAGGGAACACACTAGTGAACTAGACCATGCACTGTGTTCATATGAGTAGCACGTCCTGTATTCTGTTAGGATCAGTGACGTCGAGAGCGTTTTTCCTTTTTTTGTATAATTTGGACATTGGATATTTGCTTTGGCACAAGCAATATAAATCAAGCAATTATAGATCATGGATGCCGCTGTAGAAGTTAATTTAGCTTACAATAAAACTTCCGACGGCGCGTTTAATTGAGATACTAACGCCCTCTCTCGTTAAAGAAAAATCTTTAAGATATACATTATCCCCGCTGAAGATTGGTGTGTGAAACCAATCCCATCGAAGCTTTTTTGGCAATTTCCTTTGTCTTGTGAACTTCTAACCGGAGCGCGGTTTGCAGAAATAATTTTTCCGCAGTTCATATGAGAAATTTTAGTTCGGCTACTGTAAGGATATCAGTTGGTGACCACCTTCTTTCTTATAAAAACTCAACGTGATTTTTTACATAGGAAAGCAGTGTTGGGGTGACATCTCAGAATCGGACCAGCACGGTCATAGAAGCCTCTAGTCACGTAAGGGAGTCTATCTGTCCCCATTCTAGGCGAAATGTGGTCCAATTTTTGTTTCAAGGTTTGCCGCAAGCTGTTTAGTGAAAACAGATTGCGAAAACCATTCTAACATGTTTAGCCTGGTGTTGATATTTGTACTTGGAGACATGTTATAGATCCGTTAGACGAACGAAAAACTCATCCCTTTATGTCACGGCAATTTACAGCCATTTCTCACTTAAGGGTCTCTGTTCGATATTTTTCTTTGTCAGAAACTGCGTGAGATCTTTCAACACACCCATTGTAAGGAAACATTTAGTTAGTTATCGACGAGAAGTGGTTAAAGTAGAAAAATCGCCCTAAGTGATGTTTCAAGCTTTGTTAACGAGTTTTACTAATGGAAACACTCAAAAGATTTAAAATGCGTAGCTTTAAATATCTCACTTGGAAGAAACGGAACTCCGTCACGGAAGTTGCTGCGAAATCTATCAGTTTTTGAAATCACTGTTAAGCACATAATGATCTCCTCTGTGCAGCACGCGCTCAAGCCTGCGAGCAGGCGTTTCTAGAGGCCTGCGTTTAATGGGAGAAGAAGCTATCTTGGCGCGTTATATTCTTCCCACGCACGCCCCAAAATTGTCTATGAATCTATTACCGGGTGTGCTGTAACCTCAGTCAGGTACTACGGTCCTAAGTAGGCATTTCAGAGAGACTTGTCAACATCTATTGTTAAAGCCCAGTCCAAATATGACAGACAAAAAAGCAGTTACTTACAGTAACCAATCCGATTTCTTATTTGAACGGGCAGGAGCCAATTTGCATTTTATGATAAAAAAGATATCCGCTCGACATTGCTTCCTGGGCACGTAGCAACTTTCTATCGGCGGAATATTTTCATGCGCATATCACTCCCTCAAAATCGAATGCGATGAGTTCTAACAGCGAATGTTACGGGGCTCTTCTATTTGTGCAGGTTTACTTGATATCCATCGAACTAGTCGACAAGGTTGTTGACGCCGTCATGTTAAAGAAATATAGCGAGGGAAAGGTATCTAACAATCCGCAAGATAGCGTTTATTATGCCCTTGTTGCTTTTTTTATCACTGGACTTCTCATCAGTTTTGCTCGAATCACACTTTCCATACTGGCAATTAAGAAGCATTGTAGTTCAAGAGAAGACAGGATCAACGAAGCTATTCGTTTTTGGTCAAGTCTGGCCAAAGTTTGGCTTGAAGCTCTCCCTCAGGCAATTTTTGGAAGGTTTTTCTTTGGCGAATGTGCAGTAACTGATGACTTAAAACAATGGGGTCAAGCGTTTGGTTTATTTTCCTTGCTCCCATTCATCCTGTTTTTATTCCACCTAATCTACTACTGGTGTCCTTATTGTAAATATCAACATGACGAGAAGCCCAATCCACTGACACTCCTTGTCGTGTCTTCAACCCTGAAGGCATCCTTGTTGGGGATTTTTTGTGCAGTTAAAACCATAATCGCCTTTACCGAACGCTGCACGTTCTAAACAACTTCAAGAAACGTATTGTTGTCGACTGTGAAAGGCCTTCTAGAGCCTGTTGTTTGATTAAACCGCTCACCATCAAACCCGTTTCGGCCGGGAAGTTATAATAGCACAGTATGTTTTGTTCCGAATCTTAAGCCCCTGTTGTTTTAAATGATCATGTATTATTGTAAATCCGCAAGAGGTCAACAGGTTTCCACCACTATTCAGTTAGTGTCTAAATATCGGTTGAGGTACGATGGAAGAAAATGTTTACCAATGAAATCACTTGTAACTTAGGTTACTATAGAACTTGTGACAACGAAAGTGCGACGAATTCACTGATAAAATGTTACCTTTTAACCCTTTAACTCCCATGAATGACCAAGATAGAATTTTTCCTTACAATATCAATGCAATATCAAACCAGATAAGTGATGAGAATAAAGAAAAATATCAATTTGAGGATAATTAGATCATCCAATACTAAATTCTCTGAACTAACATTATAAGAATTGTATGGTTGGCAGTAAGGAGAATTGCAAATTTGATCTGGGAGTTAAAGGGTTAATACGAAGCTGATGGTTTGTATAGGAAGATAGCTATTTCAATGGGGCTGATCGAAAAATGACAACTATTTATCATGTAATAGAGTT